ATATAACCTAGAAAAAATAGATAAATTCCTGGAAATATACAACCTACCAGGACTAAATTGTGAAAAAATAGAAAATCTGAACAGATCTATAACTGCTATGGAGATTGGTTCAGTAATCAAAAAACTTCCAACAAGAAAGCCCAAGATCAGATGACTTCACAGGTGAATTCTACCAAACATTTAAACAAGAATTAATGCCATTTCTTCTCAGACTCTTCCAAAAAATGGAGAGGAGAATACTTCCAAACTCAGTTTAAGAGGCCACATTACCCTATTACCAAAGCCAAACAAAAGCACCACAAGAAATGAAAACCACAGGCCAATATCCCAGATGAATATAGATGGAAAAATCTTCAACAAAATACAAGCAGACTGAATCAAACAGCACATTAACAGGATCATACACCATGACCAAATGGGATTTATTCCTGGTGTAAAAGGCTGGTTCAATATACAAAGTCAATTAATACGACACACTACATTAATAGAATAAAAGGTAAAACTCACAGTCATCTCAGTAAATGCAGAAAAAGCATTTCACGGAATTCAGAACCCTTTTATGATAAAAACCCTCAACAAACTAGGAATAGAGGGAAGTAAGTCAACAAAATAAAGGCCATACATGAAAAGCCCACAGTTGACATTATACCCCCTCTGATAATGAAGTTTTTATATATACCTTTTTATTTCAGGGCTTTCTCATGTGCTTCATTGATCTGCTAGCCTATCTCTGTACAAGTAACACACTGCCTTAACTATATCTTAATAATAAGATGATACTAGGGTATTGATTGGAATTGCATTGACTTATAAATTAATTTCAGAATTATTGCCATCTTCACAATACTGGGCCAATTTATCTTTTATCTCATTTAAAAAAATTATTCTTTTTCCTTTCATGTTCTCTTACATGACATTTTCCAGTTTATTTGTAATCTTTTTGACTATTCCAGTCTCAGTTTATTCTGTGTCTCCAGTTTTCTTTTCTTGGTATCAGTGACTATATTTTAAAAATAGCTTTATTGAGATATAATTTGGGTACCATATGATTCACACATTTAAAGTGTACAATTCAATGCTTTTTAGTATAATTACAGAGTTATAAAACCGTCATTGCAATCTAATTTTAGAACATGTTTTCCTCTCTATACCCATTAACAGTTACTTCCATTTCCTCTTCCCTCCCACCAGGCCTAAGGAACCAATAATCTACTTTCTATCTCTATAGATTTGCTTAATCTGGACACTGCATATAAATGTAATCACACAATATGTGGGCTCCTGGGACTGCGTCTTTTATTTATAATGTTTTCAAGGTTCATCTGTGTGTGCATTATTTTATTTCTGAATAGTATTCCATGTTATATATCTACACCACATTTTGTTTGTTCATTCATTAGTCAGTGGACTTTAAGTTGCTTTCACTTTTTGGCTGTTACGAATAATGCTGCTATGAACATTTGTGTACAAGTTTTTCTGTAGACATTTGTTTTTATTTCTCTTGGGTATATTCCTAGGAGTAGAATTCGTGGATCATTGTGTTTAATATGTTGAGGAACTGCCAAACTCTTTTCCACAGTGACTGTACCATTTTATATCCTACTGGCAACGTGTGAGGGCTCCAGTTTCTCCACATTCTTGTTACTCTCTGTCTTTTTGATTATAGCTATCTTAATGGATGTGAAGTGGTATCTTGTTCTGTTTTAATTTACATTTCCTAATTATTAATGATGATGAGTATCTTTTTATGTGATTATTGGCAATTCGTACATCTGTTATTGGGAAATGCCTGTTCTAATCTTTTGCCTATTTTGGGGGTTATCTTTTTATTATTGAGTTGTAAGAGTTCTTTTTATATTTTGAATACAGGTCTTTTGCAAATATCTACTCCCATTCTGTAGGTTGTCCTTTCACTTACTTGATAGCATCATTTCCAGTGCAGAAGGTTTTAATTTTGTTTTAGTTCACTTTACCTATTTTTCTTTTGTTGCTTGTACGTTGTGGTTATATCCAAGCAACCATTACCTAACCTAAGGCCACAAAGATTTACTCCTGTATTTTCTTTTAAGATTTTTATAGTTTTAGTCCTTACATAAAAGTCTATGATCCATTTTTAATTAATATTTGTATATTGGTGTGAGGTAGGAGTCCAACTTTATTCTTTTGCATGTGAATATCTAGTTGTCCTAGCACCATTTGTTGGAAAAACTGTTCTTTGATCATCGACTTATCTTGACACTCTTGTTGAGCATGTATGTGTTTATTTCTAGAACATCAGTCTATTCAGTTGGTCTGTACGTATATCCTCACGCCAGTACCATATTGTCTTTATTACTGTAGCTTTGTAGGAAGTTTTGAAATCAGGAAGTGTGAATCCTCTAACTTTATTTTTTATCATGATTGCTTTGCCTATTCTGGGTTCCTTGCATTTCCATAAGAATTTTAGGATTAATTTTTCAATTTCTGCAAAAAAGCCAGCTAGAATTTTGATAGAGATTGTGTTGAATTTGAGATCAATTTGGGGAGTATGGATATTTTTAAATTAAGTTTTCGAACCCATGGACAGAAATATCTTCTCATTTATTTTCTACTTCATTGATGTCTTTTTACAATATTTTATAGTTTTCAGTTTACAAGTCTTTCACTCTTTTGTTAAATTTATACTCATTTTATTTTTGAGCCTATTATAAATGGAATTGTTTTAATTTATTTTTGGCTTATTTGCTTGTGTATAGAAATACAACTAATTTTTATATATTGATGTTGTATCCTGAAACCTTGCTAAATTCACTTATTAGTTCTAATCGTTTTTTCAGTTGATTCCTTTCATGTATTGCATACCAAAGTTTTGGTCTGTGATGGACCTCATAAGATTATAATGGATTTTAAGCAGAAATTTGTTAGCGATGTTGAAAGAAAAGGCTGGACCTGACTGTGAGTTGAATTTACTACTAGCTCGATGGTTTAAATAGATGAGGAAGTTCATGATTTTTTCTTAGAATCATTTTATGTAAGATCATTAATGATGTAACCTCTCTCATTCTAATTTTAGTGATTTAAATCTTATCTCCTTTTGTTTGTCTAGCTGAAACTATGTTAGGTTTGTTTATTTTATTGGCTGCACTTTAAATTGCAAAGGCTTTTAACTTTTTCATATCCAACTTGAGAAGCCCTGGGATATTATTAGTTGTGAAATGCAAGCCGGCCTTGGCAGTCATTTTGCTAAAGGCATCAAGTCTGAGCTGTTCATTTGCATAGATGTTCAGAGTTTTACTGGCAGCTAAGCATGATGAATTGTATTTACATTCTACAAGATGAATGTGGTATTACCAAATTTAGTAGGCAAGTACCTGTTTTAAGGATAAGAGTATCATCTGACTAGAAATAAATGGAAAAGAGGAAGTAGGTTTTGTTTGTTTGTATTTTGTATATGAAAGAAAAAGGGAAAGGAGTTGTTAAGTTTGAGACCTATGCTTACTCTAGTCATACTGCATTCTAAAAGGAGTAATGTATGGATCAAAAACTAATATCCATTGTACCTAAGGAGTTTGAGGCTTCTCTGTAATTCAGAGATAGGCTTATGCAGTTGAAACAGACATACTGAGTCTTCTGTGAGCCAAGTACTATCTGGACCAGTGATTTTCAACCCTTTTCATCTCATGGCACACATAAACTAATTACTAAAATTCGTGGCACATTGCCGATCTGACAAAAAAAGTAGGTATCATTTTTATTCATTCATACTGGATGACTATTGTGTTGGCTATTGTCTTTTTTTTTTACTTAACAGTCTGAGGGAAAAGAGGTCAGTGCCCCTGACTAAATAGTCAGGTAATGAATGTTTTAAAAATTCTTGCGGCACACCAGTGTGCCTGCCACAGCACACTGGTTGAAAATCGCTGATCTAGACAATGGAAAATAAGGATCAGTAGTTCACAATGTTTGTCATAAGGGGAGACATACCGAAAAATAAAAATGTAGTCTAAAGTGTTGAATACTGTGGCAAAGATAAGTATCATTACAATGAATTTGAAGTAAGATATTCTTGGTTCACTGGGAGAAGGAGGTAAGCAAGGAAGGCTTTGCTCAAGGATGTGAAGCATCTTAGTTGAGTGATAAAGGATAAGCAAGAGAGAGGTTGAAAAAGAGCTGGGTGAATAGTAGGGAAGTTATTCCAAGGTTGAGGGACCAGCAAAACTGTGGATCTGAGAAACAGCAGTCATGTAAGTGTTCCAAAGGACTGCAAGGCCTGTGCATTGACTGGAGTATAAGGTTGGAGGTGGCCAGAGAGTTAATAGGAATAGAGGGAGAAGATGAATTCAAGAGATGTTTAGTAGATTAAAAATCAGCAGAACCTGGTGACATAGTGTAGGGTGTGATATAAAGGGTGAAATGATATTAACTCCTAGGTCTCTGGTTCAGGCAAAGTAAGGGCCACCATTAGCCCAAAAGTTGTCTATATTTTCTAAATGCATTAGAAAAATATGCATTTTCTTCCTGGCAAATATAATAACCCTGTAGCAGGGGAAATGGCGTATGTGCAGAGCTCAGGGTGGATTTCAGCTTCCATTTATTTGCCCCTTAGCTTGGTGCTCTTCTGTAGTTCATAGTATGAACTGTAAGGGGAAGATATGGGTAAATGAGTGGCCAATGGTGTCGTTAGTCACCTAGGAAGAGAGAGTAGAATTGGGAAGCAGTGAGAGGGGAAAGATGAGCTCGGTTGTGATTATATTCAATTTGTAGTATTTAGGCCATTTTTCAGGTGGAGATGTCAGGGAAGAAGTTGGATATATGACTCTAAAATACTAGGGAATATAGATGACTTAGGTCTATTAAACTTTTAAAAAATTACATGCCAATTGTAGTTAAAATTATTCAAAGGAAATGATATTTTGAATTATAGCTCGAATTGTACTTACATGGTACTAGTGACTGGTTCTCCAAAATGGTTAACCTGTTCTATCAAAAAACTCATTCCAAACAATTTTTCAAAGAATGTCTACTACTGTTTATTAATGTACTGAAGAATGGTCATAATAAATTGGACTGCTAAAATTTTTTATTTTCTCTGTTCCAGATTGCTGTGCTATGCCTTGTATGACTAAGACCTCTTACCAATAATACCTTTGCTTTGACACTTGAGGAAAATCAGACCTTGTGAGTACAGAAGCTGTATAGCACATTGCAGCGAACCCTAATTGGTTAGATCAGCTAAGTAAAAAAACAAAAATTTCATGTTTGATAAGACCAAAAGAAATAATACCTATTTTTGTGTGTGATACAAATTCTAGATGAGGTGGAAAACTCCTCTTTTCCTCCATTAATTTATTATTACACTAGGGGCTATAAAACTAACAGTGCAGTTTTTCTGTCAGCTCATTTATCAGAGTATTTATGGCAACCAACGATAAGAATTATAATTGAAAGCATATTTTTTTCATTTTTGTTTTTGTACTTCTAAAGGAACAAAAACCCCTGATCTTTCTTTGTGGCACTATTTTGCAGAAAGACACTGCTAAGGACTGCTAAAGTGGCAATGAAACAGCCCAACAGGAAGAGGAAGCTTAGTATGGATTCCAAAGAGAATTTGAATCAGGATGGATGCTTGGTAAGATGTCAGTTTCTGGACTCTCCCTTGTAGTTTTTGCTCAGTGTGGAAATTTACTCTGTAATTGTACAGTTTGTGTAACCACAGTGGAGGTGTTTTTTCAATCACTGGAAACTGGTTCGTTCTGGTTGAGTTTTATGTATCATTACAGACTGGTATATTTTAAAAGGTAATCTTCATTTTAAAAGTGAAGGGAGACCTTTCTTTTAGAAAGCTGGAGATAATTGATCATTATAAAGTAAGGGAAAGAGATCGTGAACTAGAAGGTTGTATTCATTAGGGTTCTCCAGAGAAATAGAACCAGTAGGAGTAGTTGGTAGTCCTCTCACAGTTGCTGTTCACAATTTCTGTCTCTACTTGATAATGATGAATTTGTGTGTGTGTGTGTGTGTGTGTGTGTGTGTGGGGAGAGAGAGAGAGAGAGATTGAGATTTATTTTAAATAATTTACTTAGGAAGTTGTGGGGGATGCCACGTCTGAAATCTACAAGGCAGGTAGGCAGGGTGGAGACCCAGAAAAGAGTTGATGTTGCAGTCTTGATTCCAAGGCATTCTAAAAGCAGAATCCCCTCTTCCTCAAGTGAAGTCAATCTTTTTTCTAATAAGGCGTTTAATTGATTGGGTGAGGCCCATCCACATTGTGGAGGGTAATCTGCTTCACGCAGAGTCAAGTGTTTAAATGTTAATCATATCTAAAAACAGATCACAGTAACATCTCAACAACTAGAGGGGCATACTGTGCAGCATACCTGTGCTGTTTCCTTATGACAACTTTTGTATTCCTACAAATTTCAAGGTGGGCAGAAAGGATCAGGAGACCTCTGTGGTAACTGTTTCGTGATTAGTGGGCCATTAGAGCCTTCTCATTGTGTCATGGGCTCTCATTTATTTGGATGTGGGTTTGGGAGTCTTCATGTGGGTTGTGGTTACATATTTACACATTACAGTTGGTGAAGTGACACAGTGTTATACATTCTTTGGTTCAATGCCAGGTTAAGTGTGGTGTAATGAACTCCACGTATTAAATGAGGCATATCAAGCAATGATGTGGTCTTTATTTTGTTTTAAGATGTTAAATATAAACATCTGTGTCAAGTTATGGAGCTGTTTTTTCAGGATCAGTCTCATTGGGAGGTGGGGTGGTTAATGTGGGGCTGAGGTCCAGTGCTCCTTAAGGTCCAGATTGGTTTCGCCTTTGAACAGTTTCATGCGTTGAGTGTTCTAAATGTATCCTGAAGACCTTATTCTCTAAAACGTTGCTTGGACCAGACTTGGGAAGGCCTACACCTGTCTCAGGTTTGTGAGGATGCCATTGTTATCAGTACTTTTGGTTTGCTGCATCATGCCCTCTGAAGAGACAGCATGTTTGATGTGTTCCAAGGTATTTTTATAAAGTGATTCTCCAGCTGTGGTCTCTAGGCCAGCAGCATCAGCATCACCTGCGGTTTGTGAGAAATGCAAATCCTTAGGCCTCACTCCAGACCCACTGAATCAGATGCTCAGGGGTGGGGTGTAGCAATTTATAGTTTACCGAACCCTCCAGGTAATTCTAATACATGCTCATGTTTGAGAAACACTGTCCTAGGGAAATAGCTAGACATATCTTACCTACTAGTAGTGCTGTAGTTATAATTGGTACTGGCTGCTGCATATTTATTATTTTTTAATTTAATATTTGAGACCATATCTCCTATCCAACATATTTTCTGCATTTTCTTAGTATCATTTCTCTTTAAATTATTACTGCCCCTTCTCAGCACTTCAGTTATTTTGCCCTACAACATGAATATTTAACCTTCTGTCTCTTCAGTATTGGCACAAATCCCAGTTTTCTCTTACTGCCCAACTCAGTTTCTGACTTAATGCCGATGCTTTTACCATTATTTCCATCCCATTTTGGTATTTTCCCTTTTTTGAACTCCAAAACTGCTCAACACTGGTACAGGTGCTGTTTTAGTGTGGTGCCTTGCAGTAGCTGGATTTCTGAAACTATCTATTGAATGATGTTCCTGGTGTTTAATGGCATCTTCATGCAAATGGACTTCTTTGTTCAATAGCAAGAAAATGACATTTCAAAGGACCATATTACTAATTTGAGTTTTGAGATGTTTGGAACATATAATTATTTGAAAGGCTCTCCACATAGTATAATTGAAAAGATGCACATTTAGGATGAAATCTGTATTGTACTGTCAGTTTGGGGCTCATTGCCAGTTACAGTATCAGTTTTCATTAGGTAAATTTAATAGTTTAATATAGTAAGCAGGTTCACACATGTGGCTGCATTCACTGTAAGAGAAAGGGATTCAATCTTGCTTTTGTATCACTATAATCATGTTTGAATTTTGATTGAAATGTCAGTAACATTCTTCACTTTCTGTGTTATCCTTATGATTTTATAAGTGATACTTTCAGTCAAACAAAATAGCATGGCCGATTAAATAAAACACCAAATTAATGAAAAGTTGGATGCTTTCTAAATATCTGCTTTTGAGACAATAATTTAATATCTTGGATATCAAATAATCTTCAGATGGCGATATTAATATCTATCAATGATGTCTTCCTAGACTAACATTTTTTATTTCTTCATAGGATTTAAAAAATATTTATTTATATCTTTCAATTTATAGGCATATAGTTAAAACAGATCAAATAGTACAAGGTATTTAAAAAGGAATGTAAATTCTTCGTACCTACTAACACACATGCTAAACCCCCAAATCTTTCCCTAAAGGTATGACTACTGTTTATATTTTTTGTGTATTTATATAGGAATCAAAAAACAAAGCAAGTTAAAAAAACCCCAAACCCTTTATGCACATATTCATACATACATAATACATGTGTACATACATGCATCCAAATGGGTTCACACTCTACTTCTTATTCTGTATCTTGCTTTTTTGCACATAAGCATGTATATCTTGAAGATTCACATCTTGTTTTTGATGGTGCACAATATTTCATTCTGTAACTGTATCATAATTTATTTAGAGAGTGTCCTGCTGTAAGCATGTAGGTGATTTTTAGAGCCCACTGTATGGGAAAACATATTTGCCAACAACACATCTGATAAAGGGTTAATACCCAAAATATATAAGGAGCTCATAGAACTTAACAAAAGGAAGACAAACAACCAAATCAAAAAATGGGCAAAGGACCTAAATTGACACTTCTCCAAAGAGGACATACAGATGGCCAAGAGAGTATGAAAAAATTCTCAAAGTCACTAATCATCAGAGAGATGAAAATTAAAACCACAATGAGGTATCACTTCACACCTGTCAGAATGGCTACTATCAATAAATCAGCAAATGACAAGCATTGGCGAGGGTGGGGAGAAAGGGGAACCTTGGTACAGTGCTGGTGGGAATGCAGACTGGTGCAGTCACTATGGAAAGCAGTGTGAAGTTTCCTCCAAAAATTAAAAAATGAATTGCCATTTGATCCAATGATCTCACATCTAGGAACATATCCTAAGAAACCCAAAACACCAATCAGAAAGAACTTACGCACCTCTATGTTCTTAGCAGTCAATTTACAATAGCTAAGATCTGGAAACAGCCCAAGTGCCCATCAATAGATGAGTGGGTAAAAAAGCTGTGGGACATTTACACCATGGAATACTATGCAGCTATAAAAAAGGAAGAATCTCTTATTCTTTGGGACAGCATGGATGGGCCAGGAGAATATTATGCTAAGTGAAATAAGTCAGTCAGAGAAAGACAAGTACCACATGATCTCACTCATGTGTAGAATGTAATAAAATAAACTGATGAACAAAGTGGATCGAGAGACACAGAAGCATGGAACAGACTGAGGGATCGCAGAGGGAAGGTGGGGATGGGGGAGTGGGTGGGGAGAGATTAATCAAAGAACTTACATGTTTATAAGCATAACCCATGGACACAGACATTAGTATGGGGAAGGCCTAGGGGTAGGGTGGATGTGGGGTGGAGGGGACCAATGGGGGAAAAAGGGAACATCTGTAATATTTTCAACAATAGTTGTTGTGTGTGTGTGTGTGATGTTTATTTTTGTTGTTACAATGTTACAACCAATGTTCCTTCATATATCTTGACATACTTTTGTAGTTGATTCACAGATAAATTCTTACCAGAATTGTAATGAAGAGTATATGCATTTAAAATTTTGTTAAGCCTTTCATTTCATCCTTCAAAGAGGTAAACCTGACTTTTACCTTCTGTGACAGCATCTGTGGGAGTGCCTTTTTTCTTTAAGATTTATTACATCTTTGTTTTCTCAAATCTTCTGTATGGATACATCTGTTTAAGGTGCTCGACTCAGTAGTAGGCCCCAGTCTTTAAGGGTGGTGTTTCCCTGCTCCTGTTAGGCTCCCTGACATATGCTTTTTTGCAACATCCAACACAAACACAAGTGTCATTTTGGTTCCATTTGCTCACCTTTTCCACCCTCCACCTTTAGAATTGACTGGGAAAGTGTAGGCACATGATAATGGGTAAAGGAAGCTTTTCGGTTTTTTCCCCCAAGGTGATTTTATAGATGTTTGCTGTGTATGTGGGTGAGGTGTGAGCATAAAACCCCAAAGTATATGCAGGCTATAAAATTTCAAATTTCCTAAAGTGCAAGTTTCCCAAATAAAAAAGGGAGCTTATTTGACTATACAAGTATAAAATATGTGGTCCTTAGTTGTGTATATAAATATCTGATATTGAAAAAATGTTAGCAAGCATTCTTCCTCTCTGTCTGAACCTCTTAGAATCTAAGAACCTATATCTTATTAGTGAATTATAAACTTTGAGAAATAGAAATATAGGACATTATATTTTGTATAAAGGATCTTAGTATTGCTGAATAAAAGAGCACTAATGTATGTAGAGTAATGCTGTACAACTAAGTACTTAAGCACATTAGTGCTTTAAGGTACATTCAGCCTCCAGAAAAAGGTGGGATCACTGGGAGCTTGTGTCTGACCTTGAAAGATGAAGAGTATATGAGATGTACATGTTTAATGCT